GCTTCCACGCCGTAAAAGGCGGCGTCCTCCCGGCCAAGGATCGCCTCCACGTGCACCGTCGCCCGGAGGTTCACGAACACGTTGTCCTTCGTCTTGGATCTGATGATTTGGTGCTCCTGCAGCCGCATGGACAACATCCCGGCCATATACGTCTACGGAAAAATGCAGTGACAGCCGGGCACCGCAGTTCCGAGGTACCCGCCGCACGCCTCCAGCAGCGCCACATCCGACTACTCCACGGAGGTGCAGCAGAAGCACTGGCCCATTTCCACTTCCTTCAATCCGCCGCGATCAACCGTGTGGCCGCCCCGCGCCCCCCTTTGTTCCCCTCTGTGGTCCACGCGCGACTACCCTGAGCCTCTCGCGCCCGTGTCCCCGGCAAAAAAAAGGTGAGAGGCGGAGAGGGAATGCAGCACGCAGAGGGGGCAGCAGCGCCGGGACTCGGATAAGCACGCAAACAAGAACGCCTCGGCGTCCACGAGATGGTGCGTGGCGTGGCCTCCGGCACTCATTGAAGACGCACAAACACGCATGAGCACCGAAACAAAAAAAAAACTCACTGCGGCGGGTGGTGGAGGACACGCGGAAAAAGCCGGCCCCACGTGCCCGCAATCCCACCGCTGGACACACGTACGCGTCCCACCTACGCGAGGACACCCAACAAGACACAAAATAACAACAACAACAAACTCTACCACGCACACAAGAGCGCATCCGAACCCCTCCCCCCTCCCCGGCCACGTACAAAAACAAAACACACATAAAGAATACGAAGGAAAACAATGAACACTTTTGGAGAAAAAACAAAGGTATTTATTGAACAACTGACAATCAGAAACAACAGTCCATATCCATATACATACACGCCTAGATATGTTTACAGACTGTCTCTTGTATGGTTGCACACACAGATATATACACACACATAAGTCTGACAGTTTCTACTGCACAGCATGATATGGCCCGGAAAATAAAGGGGAGGGAGAGGTGTGCTCGGGCATTCGCTGTCACTGGTGGAATGCCTTGTCTAGTGGGGACGTCCCACAGGACGCCTTGGGCAGTACTCCACCGCACGAATTGGGCGTAGATGCGGCGGCGCCGCAACCGCCTCTGACGTCGCGCGTGGCTCCTCGACGGTGGAGTACTGCCCATGCGAGTCTGCATTGCCCTCTGTCACTCCTGCTGCCGCAGCTGCGACCTCTCCGCCTCCCGCTTGTTGGTGTGGTGGCGGGTGGTGCGCTTCGTCTGCAGTCTCCACCACAACATGCTGCGCATTGTGCGTGGTTTGGGTCCGGATGAACTCCCGCCCCCCGCGAACGACGCTAACGCCAAAGCTGAGGAGCATCATGTAGAGCACCGCGCCAATGGAGGGGGAGGCCTCCCAGTTCCACGCCACACTGCTGGTGCGGTAGATGAAAAGCTTCAGCAGGTACCCAAGGCAAAGGGCCTGCCCAACGCCGATCACGTACACCGCCACAACCTTCGCGGTGTTTCGGGGCGTCCAAAACTCCGGCAAAACCTGAAACTCCTGCACATGTGCCTCGGTCTCCTCCCGCACGTGCCACCGGCTGTAGACGAGGGCGAAGGAGAAGGTGGCGAGGGAAGTAAGCATAAAGTACCCAAACAAGGTGAGGATGATGCCGTCCAGGTTGAACATCGTCGCGTAGGACACGCGGCGCCAGGGGGCTCTACAGGAGATGCTCCCCAGCGTGTTGCGAAGGAGCACCGAGAGGCCCGCAAAGAAAACAACGGTGGAGACGGCGAGGGTGATGGCAAGCACAAAGTGGCGTGAGCTTTGCCACAGGAGCGTGCGCCGACGAATGGATACGTTAAAGGGCCTCTTGCAGATCTCGCACCGGTTTATATTGCGAATGTTACGCTTCATACTCTCGAGGCGCCAGCGGTCCAGGCAGGTGCGGTGCACCCACCGCACGGAGCCAGTGCACTCGCACGCCGACACAAGCTTCTCTTCCTCCTCCCCGTCACGGCAGATGCGACAGACGTTCTCCTCCTCCTCCTCCTCCTCCCCCTTGTACAAAAAGACACGGCCCTCAGTGGACGCCCGCCCGCGGTGACTCTCGTTGCCACCCGCCGCAAGCTCGTCCATCGACTCCTCCGGCATCTCCGTGGCGAACGCGCGGACGTGCACCACGCAGGGCGCCGTCGTCTCCAACGTCTCACGTGGGCCAGCGGAGGCGGAGGCGCCCTTCTCCCTCGCACCGTGCAGGTATTGCGCGACGGACGCCGCCAGACGAGCGTTTGCGGGCGATGATGCCTCGCCGGCCTGCTGCTTAGCCGCAAGCTCTTCACAGCTCTGCAGCAGTTTCCGCTTCTCCCCCTCGGTGTGTTTCCTCTTGCTGCTGGCATCCACGTCTCCTCCACCTTCTTCCACGACAGCTACTACTGCTGTCGTTGTTGCCGGCGTTGCTCCCGGAGAGGGCGGTGACGGCCGCACATGCACAGCGATTGACCCATGCGGCTCCTCCCCACCCTGGCCTGTGCCGCTGCCGCTGCCGCTGCCGCCAGAGTTGTTGTTGGAGCCATTGCCATGACCCCTATGAGTACTATTATTATTCCCGCTGCTCGGGCCGGGACTCCCATCGGCGGCTGCGTATGTCTCGTGCTGCGGCTGCAGCTGAAACGGCGCGGGCGGTGTGGGGCCATCGTGCATGCCTGGCCGACGCTCTGCCTCCTGCATGAGGTGGCGGCGCCGTTTCTCCAGCTGACGCTGTCGCGCACGGACGCGTCGGTTGCGGTAGATCCCCCAAAGCACCGTGCCGCCCCCCACCGCCGCCTTGATGACGGCGCCCCGCAGGAGGTACGGCAGGTACCACAGCCAGCTGATGACGTCAATGTCGGCGAGGTACCCGGGGAGCAGGTCAATACGCCACAGCACAAACGGCGCCGTCAGAAGCAAAAAGGCAAGCGGCAGGCCAAGCGCAAACACATTCTGCATCTGCACCATCTCCTCAGCGGGCATCTGCTCAAAGAACAGACGCATCTGGCAGGTGTAGTTGTGGATCGGCAGCGTGTACCCGTGGCGGGCGCTGATGATGAGGTAGTGCTGCAATGCCACCGGCGCCGGCTCCAGACGCAGCATCACCGTCGGCAGGACGTCGCAAAAGGAACTGCTGTCAAGAATAGTCGCCATCGCGTTCCAAAATGTTGCCCATGCACTCGGTGGCTTGCTTCGTCGCGGCGGCCCAGACGGCCCCT